CAGGAAAAGGATATAGACCATCAAACCAATTTGAAGAACTAAAGCTATCATTCGAAACATGGGGGCACCTGACCAGTCGGACTCCTTTCAACACTTTGAGTGACAAGCTTCCAAATGACAATGACATCACATCAATGCTCAAGTTTCTACCATCGCTTAAGTGAAGCTTCGGTAATTCTGCATCCAGATACCTGCACACAGCATAAAGATCAATACCTTCTTTCTTAACATGTCAACTTCACTGGTCTGACAAGGAGATATATTACCTTGTAGGAATGAGATTTGTGTTTCCATATATACAAATTTCAAAGATTCTTGGAGCGTTCGGATGATCTGTAAATACGATATGCAGCAATACACATTGTGGCATTGCCTCTAACTGTCAGAGCTGCTTGAAGGGCCACCAATACCTACAACTCATTGAGGAGGAACAAAGTCACTGTAGATATTTTGTCTCAAAACTCAGTTCCTGTTGTAATTGAAGGGACAAATTCATAAGAATCTAGCGACTGATTGTTGCAATTTACAATCATGATCAACAAATTGTTTTGTGTTTGAACCATTTCATTTTCCTGCCTCTTAAAATGTCCAATTTAAAAAGAAAAAAAAAAAAAAACATTGAAAAATTTCGGATTGCCTAGTATTCCACCAATTAGTAAACCAAGATTCTAGACTTTTATTAAATGAGAGAGAGATCCACCAAGGCAAAAATACTATAGATGCAAGATATATAAGGGAAATTAATACTTTCTTTTTTGCCATTTTTTCGTCTGTGAATTTTAAAATTTTTAATGAACGCACCTCATTCGTCGACTCTATATGATACTAATATTTCTATCAAGCATAAGTTCTATTACAAGTCATCGATGTATTTCCGGATTTTTTTGTGATTCAGTACAGCGGTTAGTCCTTGAATTTAGAAAGAATATAGAATAAGAAAGAGCCCTCTTCAGGCCACCCTTCTTACCTCAAGAGACTCGGAGTTATAAAAGAAATGCCATGTGCATGCACATAGTGCTCCACCAAGCAGGGGAACGTACACCAATAAACTAAAAGTTAAACTGAGGCAGTAGACATTTGAATAGATGTAAAACACCAAAGCAAGCTCTATATAAAGCTCCTCAACCAGCCAGCCCCCAACCCCCAGTTTCTTTCTTAAGGGATATATAGTAACTTGGAAATTAAACTTTTAACTTAAGACTAAATATGATATCAACACCATGTTGAAAGCCAAGTTCTAAAATATGAGACCCTAATCCGTTTGAATTGTAAAATTGGTTAATTAGACATGAGGCTGCCAACTTAAGTCGTAACTTGTGAGCTTGTTTGTTAGTGCCCTTATATTCTAACTTCCAAGTAACTTAACAAAATAAGAAATTCAAAGACGATATTTATTCAAGTTAGATGAGCATTAAGGAGATTTTTTTTTTTTTTTTTCCAGGAAAACAATGGTTAACACAGAAGTACCATGGTAACAGAAATCTACCATTCCGTAGTACAGTTTTTGACCTTATCGTCAACTCATGGATATGCCATCACGAAGATATATTAGAGACATTTACCCAGTATTGGTAACTATACAAGTGAAGCACAAAGGACAAATCAATAAAATTATCTGGAAAACTGGTGACCCATAAAGTTCAAATCTTGCTTGCTGGCTCATGATAATACCAATACATGTGCTATGCTCTGAAAAAGTGGAAGCCCTGTGCTTTTGCTTATCTCCTCAGAAGAGTGTGTAGTGTAAAGACGAGGACGAGTCAGCTGAGCATATGTGTTTACGTTGCTTCTTCACTTGGAAATTTTTGAGTAGATTGTTCCTAACGTTGGGTATAAACTGTTACTTCTTGCTGAGTTTGTGGAGATTTGGGAAAATAAGATGGTTTCCTCTCCTTGGTATTCTGCAATTCGGGCCTCTATTCGGATTGTGGGGTTGGAGTGGAATAGTAGGATATTCGACAATATGCAGAGATATTCATCTCCCCGCTTATGTTTGAAAAAAATTGGTTATTTGATGCGAGTAGTATGATTTCAGCCGAAAAACTACTGGAAACGAAGGGGCAACAATCTCTTAAAAGTACGTTAATGGAGTAATAAGTTCCACATTATTCATGATAACTAAGTTTAACAGACACAAAATCTGCTCCTTGGTTTAATCAATGATCACGAAACCAATCAATTTCGAACCGAAATTCATCGCGAGAATTTGAAAGACTGGAATATAAACTCACCATCCCCACGACAGCCCTTTCCAAGATTCGAACCCGGACTTCTCCCCGTACTGCCACACCAACGCCATTGCTGTTATCCTTGCAACCAAACAAACCAAATTCAAATTACCAAAGCAACAAACCACTAGTGTGAAATATCCAACCAAAATTAACAAGAAAATGCAAATATTAAAACAAATTCACAAAACCCCATTTGCAAAAGTAGAACAAAATGAGTCTCTCTCACCATTCGACCGACGCTGGACACGTGAATGGCCCAGGTGGGCAACGAGAGGGCATTGGAGGGTTCATTCAAGGGCAGCAGCTCAGAAGCTGAGGCGGGTTGGACGAGGGTCAGGGTCTGTTAGGAACCACACCGGTACCGGAGAATCGACCAGAACCAGTAGCTATGAAAGCAAGGAGGGCGAAAGGATAGAGAGAGAACCAAAGAGGATATTCTACTGATTTGTGGAAGTCTGTTTCTTACAATGAAATTCGGAGGCATGCATACCCCTCGTGCTTACAATTCCCCAACATTTCCGTGAAACCTTCTACTAATTATAAGCTCATTACAATCAAACCCCATACTTTTAACTCCCTACAATTATACCCTTAACTACCTTACACTTTAGTCCTTACTACTATTAGCTGAATTCTTACTGTGACTAAGGCAATCACAACTGGGTCATAACAAGGTTTTAGAGAGGGAATGAAGGGTATTTAGCTTTGAACTCATCAAAATCCTCCCAAGTAGGCTCCGGTTCTCCTTGCTCTTGCCACTGTACCAGTAATTGAACTCCTGCAACGTCTCCTTTCTTATAGATTCTCCTTGCCAACACTGCAACAGGTGTATCCTCTACCAATCCATCTTCAACAAGCTGTGGTAAAACAGTCTACGGTGTCACTTTAGTTCCCAGTTGTTTCTTCAATTGACTCACATGAAACACAGGGTGAATTTTTGTGCTTGATGGCAGGTTCAATTTATAGGCCACATTCCCAACCTTCTCACATATCTCATAAGGTCCATAGTATCGTGGTTGAAGCTTATGGTAGCTGTGAGGAGATAGGGTCTGCAACTGATAAGGAACCAGTTTTAGATACACAGAATCCCCAACTTCAAATTGCCTCTCCATTCTCTTCTTGTCATGCTGCATCTTCATGCGATTCTAGGCCATTTCTAGGTTGTTTTTCAGCATAGATAACACCTTATCCCTTTCCAGTAAACTTTGTTCTACAGCTTCCACCCTTGCAGTACCAAATTCATACGGTATAATTTCAGGAGGAGGGTAGCCATATACGAGTTCGAAAGGTGTGAATTTGGCAAATGAGTGGTAGGAGGTGTTGAAACACCACTCAGCCCAAGGGAGCCATTGAACCCACTTCTTTGGTTGACCCCCCCACAAAACACCTTAACTAGGTCTCGAGACACCTGTTCATCACTTCAGTTTAACCATCAGTTTAAGGATGGTAACCAGAGCTCATGCACAGTTTTGACCCTTGTAATTTGAACAATTCTCGCCAAAAGGCATTGACAAAAATAAGATCCCTATCACTGACCACTGAGCTTGGCATGCCATGTAGTTTCAGCACATTGTCAATAAAGGCATGTGCTACTGTAATTGCAGTGTAGGGGTGGGACATCGCTATGAAGTGAGCACTCTTAGACAACCTGTCGACTACCACTAATATCACGGACTTCCCTTTGCATAAAGGCAGCCCCACTGTGAAATCCATGTTGATGTCTGTCCAAACTCTTTGGGGAATTCGCAAGGGTTGCAACAACCCTGGTGGAGCAATGGTTTCCACCTTGTTTTGTTGGCACACCTGACATTCTGCCACATAATTCTTGATGTTCCTTTTCATTTCTTGCCAATAGAAGCCTCTCTTGACCCTTTGGTATGTCTTGAGTACCCCTTGGTGGCCAGCAGCAGGAGTACAATGGTACTCTTCTAAAATTTTCTTTTTCCACTCAGAGTGAGGGCTCAACACCACTCTTTTCTTGTAGAGCAAGAGCCCATTGTCAAGACTACACTTCCATAAAGAGGAGTCACTTGTGTCATTTATCGCAGAGTCAGCAACTTCTTTTTTTTTTGCTATGATCCACTCATCTTGTTCATTATTCCTTCTTAATTTATCGCAGAGAAGCAAGTTAGGTGTTCAATCGGTTAAAGCCTTATAATGGAGTGTTGGAATTAAGGGTTAAACCTCTATTTTAATTGTTAATCTCTAGCTTTTGTATGGTTATTATCGATCAAGGGTTGAGATTAAGTCTAGCTTCTTTAGGCCCAAATGTGAGCATGTGGCAGTGTCTCATAGGGCACATCTAATTGAATGGTTGAGATGAGTTCATAGACTCTCTCTTATATGTATAAGCCTAAAGGCTCTTTTTGGACAGTTGTGAATGAATGAAAGCACTACACACCGAAAGCATGTGTGTAGATTTTGGCCTAAATATCCTCTGAGATCATTCTCTCTTTCATCACTCTAAAACCCTTCTGTAAATCAGTGCACTATAATCCAACTCGACTCAGCTGTTGAAGCATCATTTGGCTGTTCTCACATGCATGCCAAAAGACGTTGCGCTATTTGCTGCCAACGATTGGAAGCTTGGTCATTTGAAAGGGGGCAAGCAGAGAGAGAGAGAGAGAGAGTTCAAGGTTGATGTATCCTTAGTCCCATTCTAAACATTTATATACAAGTGCTCATAACAAAGTCACTATTTTACCATTGAATCATTGACCACAAAAAATACGGATAATAAATCAGTCAATAACACTCAAGAGAGAGAGAGAGAGAGAGAGAGAGAGTGATTTTATTCAAAATGTGGAAACTCATAATTTTTACATTAGGAATAATATACAAAACAAGTTGATACAAATTTTAGCGCTTCGGAGAGGGATGGGCTGGTGTAGCTCAACTAGTTGAGAGCATTTACTTCTAGATCAACAATCCTAAGTTCAATTTATTCCGTACCCCACTATTGTTTGTATAAAATGAAAAACTTGAACAGTACAAAATCAACGAAACTACAGTCATATAGGTCTCCATACGGTTCGACATATAAAAAGAAAGCTCCCCATATGCAAGTCCTCAAGAATCACAGAGCCAACTTCCGACAATTTGAGACGGGCTTTGTCATTGTTCTTCTTTCCTTTTGGCCCAAACCATGACAAGGGAGAAGCCCATCAAAGACATGATCACAGTCTGCAGATCAAAGTACAATAGTGAATATCTTAATCTTAACGCAGAAGTTAGTGCTCAAAGAACCCTTCCGCTTGTAGAAGTTTGTGACATGATTTGAATTGGTGTAAAAAGAAAACAAAATTGGTAAATAAGTCAAGATATCGACTCACAGAGATTGCCGGAGGCACTCCAACGAGCGGATCTTGGAAAAATCTATTTGCAAGGGCCAAGGCCAGAAGGCTGCTTTGCATTCCTACAAAAGCAAATGATTAATTAGTGTCGGAAATTCCTAAAATTTATGGACTGATAAGTGATAAGAGACAAAGGTGGAACCTGTCTCATAAGATAGTGTTCTTTGTAGCGCTTTAACATCAGGTGCCGTATGAAAGACCACGCCAGTAAGAAAATAGCCGGCTACGAAAGCCGTCAAATGAAATGCTATAACGAGCAACAAAACAGTTAGTCCAAAAGGAGACATAACAGACTCAATGTTAATGGCAAGTGGTGCTCCAACACAGCAAGCTGTCACAAATACAGAGAGAGGAGGCAAAAATGGCTGAATAGCACCACATATTCGGGGAAGGAACCTGAAGGTGCAATTATATAAGACAAGTCAGAATCTCTCCAAATAAACTATGTTAAAGGAATATTATCCAGCGTTGGTGTCTCACCGATTCAAAAGCAAGCCTGCAGCAACTGGTGTGATTACAATCTGCATAATGCTGGACACCATTCCCCTTACGTCAACAGGCAGTCTCTTCCAATAAGCAACAACGATAAGAGTGGTGTGATAAATACAGCAGAAGCAGTAGATAATGACGTCATGACGATGCTTAGAGGGGCCATGGTAGGGTCCGTCAGAAAAGTAGCATAGTTTGAGAGCTGGGCGCCACTAACACAAGATACTAACATAATCCCAGCACCTGATCACATATACCAGTCAGCACATTCATTCTAGTGTTTTGACAGGGAGGCATGGTGAATATTCTTACCTACTGGAGTTGGAAGACCAAATATTGCTACTGCAATAGTGCCAAAAACATATCCAAGAATCGGCTTGACAAGAAATTGGCCAGTATAACCAGCTAAAATAGCTGCCGGTCTTTTGAAAGCTTCGAGGAAATCCTTTTCGCTGGAATTAACCCCAACTGCAAACATCAAAAACCCTAATGCAGGTGCGTAGTACCTGGACCGTAGAAAAAGGTTTATATAAGGAAAAAAAAATGGAAAATAGAATCCACTTCTTCTCTATCCCTATCTTTGAGTCTCTAGGAAAATAGTATAAATTCTTCGTATGTATTTCACTTAACAACCACATTCATCCAAACTCCATGTTTAAGCACAGTGGTTCAACAGTCAATTAATCTTCCTTGAAAGGAGTTCAGTTTGTCTAACCAATTCATCTAAACAAGGTTTAATGTTGACCAACTAATTCATCTAAACAAAGTTCAAGAACCTGTTGGTAAACCATGTGAAAGAAGGTGGAAAGACGAGAGCCAACAGCGTGCTAGCAAGGGTTACGTGTGGCAGAAAAGAATTTGATTTCTTCAGGACCTCCAGGAAAGAAACCGTAGTCTGTTGAGGGATCTGAAACAAGACATAAAATAACTACAATCAATATGACTCGAATTACTTTGTAAATGCCTTGTGTAGATGAACAGAAATTAATAAGGTATGTAAATGAAAGACGCCAAGTCGAAGTTTGGGTTGGTCTAACTTTTCCCATAAGTCATGTCTCTCTTTACATTTATTTCAGAGTGCTTCTGTTGACACCCATCCTGCTCATCACACCCACATATTTTAATACCTATTTTACCTTCATTTACTATTTTTTATATAAAAATAATTTGAGAAAATAAATTGACCACCTTCCCTTCACTTCCCTTCCCTTCCCTTCCCTTCCCTTCTCTCCTGCCGTCACCCCTTCTCCCTTCCCAGCCAATCAAGCGCACATTGGCGTGGTACCATGGCCAGTCATGATCGACCCATGTGTTTTTTTTTTTTTTTTTTTTTTAACAAACGATATTATCTACATTAAATGGAAAAGGGTCGATTAAGCCTCACAATAAGCTAGCATGTAATGTGATCGCTTTTGGTAAAAATCAAACCTAAAACCACTACTAGACTATAGTACAAATGGCAAGAACAAGCCCCGGGTTTGGTGCTCCAACAAAATGCATTGCAGTCGTTATAAAATTTAAGTTGACATTTGAGCTCAATTAAAGTTGAATTTTCTAGCATTAAAATAATAATTAATCTTCTAGCCTTAAAAAAATGATTAATTTTCTAGCTTTTAAAACATGATTAATTTTCTATCAGTAGCACAAGACATACGTGTTTACATTATCCTAATCATAATAAACGAATTTGGATCCTCTCCTGAGCCCAAGAAGAGGATCCTTCTGACCAAAAGATTTGAGTCGTTAGATGAAAATCTAACGGTTATAATTATTATAATTTTAAAGAAACCTTCCTGTTTGTAACCGTTGAATTTTCATCCAACGATCCTAGTTATTTGGCCAGGAGAATTCTCTCCTTGGACTCAGGAGAGGATCCAAGTCCATAATAAACTCGATGTGAGATCACAAAGATATTTGGGGAAAATAATGAAACAAGAGAACAGGGAGAGAGGCACCTGCGGTGGTTCGGATGCATAATTTTGACCCGAACCCGAATCCAACGAAGCCGAGAGCTTCTGCGATCGCACTGTACTCAACAAACAAAACATGATAAACCCAAATGAAAATATTAGATTTTTATTCAAATAAAAAGAGCAGAAAATGGCAAGACGGATACTAACAAGGAGAAATCGACCGGGAAGCAAGAGAGAAGCGTAGCGACGGCGAGATTGGGATACTGAAAGAGAGCTTAGGCAGCTGGATTTGAGGTGGATGGTGGATATTTAGACGACGCTGAATCTGCAAGTGGTGGCGGCGGTGGCTGTAGTGGTGGTGGTGGTTATTAAGAGGAGCATGCAATTGCAAGACCATTTTTTGGCTGCAGAGAAGGGAGGGAGGAAGAGGGTGAAATACTATCCTAGAATTACAAAAACTCTTAACTTAGGTGGCTCTTCCCCAAATACTCAAACAACCGTACAATTTCGTAGGGAGGGCCGGATTGTTCGATCTGGAAGGGCACTTGGCCTTCTAGGGCGCTTACCACAGCAAGCGGAGGAGAAAGACATCTCCGTCAATCGAACACGGCAGATCCGAAACCCGAAGAATCAGGCGGTGGAGGATTCGTGCAACCGAAATTCCGATTCCTGGGAAGGAATCCGATGCGATCCAAATCTCAATGCCCCATTAAACCCTGCAAGTAGCACAAGAATGGCTATGGAAGAAGAGGAAGGAGGAGGAGGCAGAGCTCATCTTTTAACAAACCACAGAACAAGTGCTCTTATACACCAAGAGTGACTACTGCTAGCTGGTACTTATATCAAACACTACTAAAAAGCAGGAATTAATCCTAATAATCCCACGATTAAAACCCCGAGTAGTGATTAAGCTAATCACTCAATATATACTAGATATCAGAACCGGCGGTTATGGAGTCGGGGAAGGGTAAATCGGGCGGGTTGATGAAATCGGTGGCTGAGGCAAAGGGACGAAGTCCCTGTTGTATCCTGGAAGGTCTCCAATTGAAAAAAATTAAGCAGGGAAGAATGGCAAACAACCGTGGAACTGTGAAAAAAATTGACAAAATTTTTGCCAAACAAAATAAAATAAAGACAAGGGGACCCGTTTCGAACTCATCGGGTTAGGTCCGCCTTTAAAGTGTAAATTACATTCTATCATCTCAGGTTTGGGATCTATTACAATTTTATATAATATCTTTAAAACATTTTACTTTCATATCTTGTTTACTATTTTATTTCAATATAGTAGCTCCATTACATTTTCTATTCATTGGTTCATTAAGAGCTGACGTGGTTGCCACAGTTGTGCCAAGTGGCTGCCAAATTTGTGCCATATGGCAAAAAAATAATTTTTTATTCATTTAAAAATATTTAATTATAAATAATTAAAAAATTTAAAAAAAAAAAAACCCACCCTAAAACCCATCTTCTTCCCTGACCACACCCTTTTCCCTGAAACCTAAACCCCCCCCCAAACCACCCCATCGAAAACCCCCTCATCACCCCCTCCTACCCCACCGAAAACCCCTGCATCATCTTCGTCCATCTCATAAAACCTCATCAACACAATCCAAAAAGGAGAAGAAGAATCGAAATGCGCGTTTTGCCTTATCGGTCAGCTATTAATAGGGGCGATGAACTTCAGGTACATGATCCTCGGCGGCGAAATCTTAGTTGTAAGTTTCTCTGCGATTGATTCATGTTCGTTTGATCATTTTTTGTTAATTTCGTGCTTCCTCTAAGAATTCACCGCAAAATATGAATTTTTCAATACTTTTTGAAGTTTTCTGTCGATCCTGATGAGGTTTTACGTAGTTCTAGCTTTGAATTTTGAAGTATATACATAGAGCTAGTGTAATTATTTGAATTTCTTTTTATGCTTTTTGAAATTTTGAGTACTTGATGTTCTTGAAGTCAATTCAATTCTGTTGAAATTTTGAGTACTTGAAGTACTTGATATACTTGATGTTCTTGGGGTTGGGGTTGGGGGGGGCGATGTTGGGGGGTTGCGGCTTGCGGGGGAGGTGGGGTGGGTGGGATGGGGGTTTAGGTTGCAGAGAATGGGGAGGGGGAGGGGAAGAAGATGGGTTTTGGGCTGGGGTTTTTATTTTTATTTATTTATTTTTTGTAAATAACTTTTTTTTAATTAATTATTTTTAAATGAATAAAAATTTTATTTTTTTTGCCATGTGGCACAAATTTGGCAGCCACGCGGCACAACTGTGGCAGCCATGTCAACTTATAACAGATCAATGGATGGAAAATGTAACGGAGGTACTATATTGAAATAAAATAGTAGGTGAGGTATGAAGTGAAATGTTTTGAAGATGTTGTATGGCATTGTATTAGACCTCAAACCTAAGGTGGTAAAGTGTAATTTACCCTTTTTTAAAATATAGGATATGTACTGCACCATTTCATTTTCAAACGGGTCCAATCCAGACCATCTAAATTGGGTCGGGCCCATGCCCACCCCTACTTCATGGGCTAAGTTGGATTGGCTAAGTCTCTATTTGGTATTGCTTTTCTCTTTTTTTTTCGCAAAAAACTGCTTCACTTTAAAGTTAAGCAATAAAAAAGAGTTTGGCAAAGTTAAAACATCACTTATTTTAAAAGCAATGGTCTTCAAACATCATCTTTCAAAAACAATGACACGCCCTAATCCCGATATCCCCAAATATCAAGATAGGCACGTGTTGGCCGACACTTGAGGGTGACGAAGCCATTTTAAACATGCATACAATTAAGAATACATAATTAGAACGAATTAAACCAAAGCATAATCATGTTCAGAGCATACAACTAACCAAGAATAATGTGAAAAAAAAATATTATAGAAAGGTACAAACCGAGAAATGGGCCTTACATAGAGGAGACTCGAAGGTGCCCAAGCAAGAGTGCCCCGACGCCGGGATTGTGTGCCTCGACTACATAGTAGATTTTCTGAAAACTCTAGCATGCGATGGAAAAGGTTCGTAAAACATATATGTGTAAAACAATGCTCGATGATGATGTTATCGCCGCCCTAAGGCAAATCCGTATATCTCGATAACTCTGTACTCACTAGGGGTATCATAGTGGCCCAAAGGCATAACCATCACCAAGGGTGAATCTGTACGACATTGGGTTATGCCAGTGAAGAAACCATGGTCCATCGCCCGAAGGTGAAGCTGTACGACTTTGGTTTACCCCAGAGAATAGGATATAACATAAATATATATATATATATATGTATGTGCAGTGGGTCCATCACCTACAACTCTGGGTTACGCCAGTGAAGAAATGGGGGATCCATCACCCAAAGGTGAAGTTGTACAACTCTGGGTTACGCCAGTGAAGAAATGGGGGATCCATCACCCAAAGGTGAAGCTGTACGACTCCGAGGTACGCTGGAGAATAAACATATACACATAACATATCACAACGACACTAGCCTTGGGCTAATGAAGCTGGGGCTATGTCATCAATATCATCAATTGTGTCATATGGCCATAGACGTCTACATACCCGGTTGTGTGTATGTGTTGTATGATAAACCGTTAGATAAGCACCAAAAACATATCTCAAAACCTGATATCAATCCGAAGCTCAAAATCTCAAAGCCTAAACTCATAAATCCATAATAAATCATATTCAAATGCCATAGAATTCCATATGCGAGAATCCAATAATTTATATCCTTTAGTAAAACGTAATTTCGATAAATCATAATATTTTGTAAAAGCAATTTAAATAAATCAGAAGTATGGAAATCCGTAAAAAACATAATATAAAATATATTCAATGCATGAAATATGTAATGCATGCAAGCCTCATATTTTATAAAAACATACAAATTTAAAAGGGGTCCACTCACAGATATTTTGTTTCACGGAAGCCGCTTGAGCCAGTGAGGATGGAGTCACTTCCCATTGATGCAGCTAAACACACATAGGGACAATTTAGTAAAACTAAACTAAAATGATGGAATTTGGGAAAACGAACAGTAAATTCGGATTCGGCATGTTGAAAAACTTGAAGAGGGACCTCGGGTTCCTCCACGCGTTGCCACAAGGTGGCGGCTCAGAAGGCCACGTGCCACTGCATGTGCTGCCACGCCCCAAGTTGAGTTTTCGGCACCACATGTGGTCGCCGCAGTGGACTGCGGTGGAGCACAGTACCTCCGCGAAGGCACTTGTGCTCCACACGCCGACCATGGCAGTCCTCCACGCGTGTCCATGCATCGACCATAGAACTTGGGTTTAGCTCGGGTTGGGTTGGATCTGGGCTAGGGTAAATGGGTTGGGCCTGGGTTACTGGGTAAATGGGCTAGGGTTAATGGGTTAGGCCAATTACATAGCCCCTGTAATACCCTGAAAATTTAAATATATGAATATGTGGAGAAAAATTGAAAATTATTGATTTATGGTTATGAAAAATTTGAATTGAGAAATTTTAAAGTTTTGTTTCAAGAATTTATATTAATTTATTTGAAATTAGATTTTAATTAAACTAGTTACGAAGTTTGAAGTTTGGAAATTAATTATTTAAAATCCGTAAATCTTCGGTTGTCACTCTTAATGTTTTTGAATTGAGCTTAACACCACGAGCGCGTAGGCGAAGGCCATTCGTGAATCGAGACGAGAAAGGATAAGTTATGGACGTTATAAGTTTTTTTTAAATAAAATAGGAATTTAATATTTTAGGAAGGAAGAAAATGAGAGAAGAAAGAAGAAAAAAAAAACGATGTAGAAGTTGCCAGATGGCAACAAGGGAGATGTGACAGCCCGTCCCGAATTATTTTTTATCGACAATGTGAAATGTCTATTTTGCCCTTGGACGTTGAGATGTGGTGTGTGTGACATGCTTTTAGAGGTGGACCAATATGTTAAGTCCTAATTGTCTGGACCAAATTAGAACTAAATTTTTCCTAGTTTGTGGTTGGTTGTTTTGTTGCCAACTAGGACCACATACACTTATACATACCCATACCCTTGCCCGTTGACCTTTCTCTCTCCTCCCTCTCTCGGTTTTCATCCATTATCCGTACAATTGTACAGTCAATTCGTGAACCAATCAATTCAGGCACGGATCAAGGTTTTGGAAGCCATCTTCGTGTTCCTTGTGAGCTTAGGAACACATCCATACCATTTTTAGAACGTGAATCTTTTGAAAACCCAAGAACCCAGAAATCCCATATTGTGAGCACTGTTCATCTGATCATGATCGTGGAATTTTTAGTGAGCTTTAAGGTTCTAGAAAGCTTTAAGACGTCTTCACGAAGCTCGGGGAGTAATTTTGAAGTGTTTTGGACGTCGGGAAGCTTAGTTTGACGAGTTTCAAATTTTGGCCAACTTATCGTGGGTTTTTCTGGTGAGATCTCGTTGGATTTAAGTCCTAAAAGTGGTAAGGTTTTGTTGTACTCGTGGTAAGCTTTATTTTGGTACAAATTTCATGGATTTTGGTTAAGAAATGAGAAAGATATGAAGTTTTAAAGTTTTTACAGAAACTAGTGAAAATTTGAGTTTAAAACGATGGCGACCGACAAGGCTTGCCGAAGAAGGAGACGAATATTTCGTCAAAGTTGACGGAATATTCTAACGGCTTCAGGGAACGCCGTTAACTTCTATTAAAGTTTTAATGGAATATTCCAAACGGCAGTTAAGTTTCCATCAGGGTTGGCCGCGCATAGAGGCACGTCTGGCCATGCCTTGGCCAGCGCGTGGGTGGTCGAAATTTTTTTCTAAAAATATGGGGATGTTCATGAGGTTGAGTAGATCGCGTTGGTATATTCAAACATCCCATTTGAGCATTGTATAAGAAGTTATTAGCTAGTTTTGGTTATATGCTTGAAATAACGTTTATATACTTGTTTCGCATATAGGTGAGACCTATCCTCAGGGCGAGTGCAGTCAATCGAGGCTTGGGGGCTACGACCTATCGACATATCAGTGAGTGGGTTTTTGGTTTTCCGTATATACCTATATACTTGAGATTTTTCCCAGAAAATGAATTTGAATGATTATACGTTTTGAAATGCCATGCAAAGTATCTGCCTATTTTATTTATGCAATAGTAGTTGCATATATTTATGATTGGTGCTGTAGACGCATAGGTAAGTGTTAGGTAAGTTCATAAATTAAAGATATGAGATTGCTTTAGTTATGCGAGATATGATGTGATGCATTGAGAGCTCATAAACCTGCAACCTGGTGTTAGTGCTCCCACCCAGAGTTAGGGCACAGTCCTTCACGTGATGTTCACCTCCCGTACCATATGCTCACCTTGGATCCAAGTTAGGTGCACACGCTTGTCGTACAGACCATTATAGGTGGTTCTGACTTGTAAGTGACCCGCGATCATTCACATAATCTTCACGTGATCGTAGCACTAGAGCATATTTATTTTACACCTAGTCTTGTTGTACATACCACTTTAGGTGGTTCCGACTCATGTGCAGGATTTGATATGATTGAGATTGGTTATGAGCTATAGACTCAGTCGTGCATGTCACGTTAGGTGGATCCGGCTGATATGATATCTGGCATTGATATATTTTAACTGGATTTCTTATGGCATTTCATTGTGATACTTTGGCATGGTATATTTCTATGGATTTTCATCCTAAGCATGATTTCTAATATAGCATATATTATATTTTATGGGAAATTATACAGGTTTTACGGCGAGGGGTTAGAACTTCTGAGAAATGAAATGATTTTGAAAAGCTTTATTTTTGCCCACTCACACTTTCTGTTTTGCGCCCCTCCAGGTTTTAGGTAGAAGTGCTTTGGTGGCTCACGGGGATTTCGACAGTGGTTCTAACAGAACATCACAAATGTAGGATCACCCTTGGCCGTAGGATCACACTTAATTTCGCATTAGCACCTTATTTTAGCTAGTACTTTTAGTAGTTTGGTTTTTATTCACTCGTATTTCTCTATGTCATTATTGCTTCCACACTATGCACATGGTTACGTCACTCTTACGTGACGGCCAGCACACCCTGATTTAGGTCGGGGTGTGTCAGTTATTATCAGAGCCTAGTTTTGCAATCCTGCATATCTTGTGAATTTTCTAATTATTTTAGTGTCTTTTGTCAGAACTATGTCGCCTCGTAGAGATCTATGTCCTTCTGTTGAGCCTAGTTTCCCCGATATCGCTTAGTTAGGGGAAGCTATTGCTCATGCTATTCAGTCTTCTCTTCGTCCTCCCCAAAGGACACCTCTTGAGACTATTTATAATTTGAAGCTGAATAATTTTATTGGAAATGAAAGACATGAATGAGCAGAGCAGTGGCTCAACCATTTGGAAAAGCTTTTCGTGATGCAGAGTCAGGGGAGTCTTCCTCCTGAAAGATGGGTTGAGACGACTACATGGTTCTTAGGTAAAGAACCAGCACCCCGGTGGCGACATGAGGCTTATCAATTGACCCCAGAGGAAGTTGCTAACTGGGAAATGTTTAAACAGTTGTTTCAGAAAATGTTTATTCCCCCTGAGTATATTGATTGCAAGAAGCAAGAGTTTACTCAATTGAAACAGGGGAAGATGACGGTGAATGAGTATTGCAGGAGATTCACTGACTTGTCTTGTTGTCATCCAAAGATTGCTGCCAATCTAGTGGAGATGTTACGTCGTTTTAGGCTGGGTACTAAAAAGAAATGGCGCTTTATGGCGACCACTACTTACTATGCTACTTATCAGGAGTTCTATGAGATTTTATTGAGGATTGAGGATTCAGAAAATATGCCCAGTGAGAGTGAAGAAGAAGAAAAAAAGAATGGGAATTAGAGGAGAGATGATAAAGGTAAAGGTCAATATTCTCAATGACCTCGCAAGACTCAGAGCTTTAAGAGAAGTGGAGCTAGTTCCAATTCTTCCAGCGAAGGTTTTAGTGCCTCTGGTTAGATGAGAGGTGGTAGATTTTCAAGAGGTCCTGGATTCCAGAGGCAGGGGGATGCTAGTAGAGGAAGTGTTCTGTTGTACCGCAGATGTAATAATAGGCATTTTGGAGAGTGTAGGCTGGGCAGCAGTGGATTTTACTTATAAGCAAATGGGACATAAAGCTATAAATTGTCCCCAGAATCAGAAGAGACCCCAGCAACCTTCTTTGCCACCACCAGCGCCGATCCAGCAAGTTCCAGGGTTTGGTAGTTATGGACAGATGATTCGTGACGGTGTTTACCATTATCAGGGTGACGCCACTCATTATGCTTTAAGACAGTATCAGTATTCCCAGGATCCTTATTACCATAGTGGGTATCCTCAGTGTCCTGGAGGGTATACGCCGTATCATCCCATTCCAGCTGGTGGATCTCAGTGGTACCAGGAAGGACAACCCCAACAAGTAGATATTGCTTCCAGTAGTGCAGGAACTTGAAGGCAATCTGGTCAGCCAAGTCAGGGACAAGGTGTACATGGGCGAGGTAATCAAGCTAATAGAGGTCGTGGGGGACGACAACAAGCCTAGGGATGTATTAACAATATCTTTCTGTAGGATGCTCAGAATCATCCGAACTTGATCATGGGTACGTTAAACATTCTTGGTCACTTTGCTAGAGTTTTAATTGATTGTGGTGCTACACATTCTGTCATTTCTCATACATTTGCTCAAGTGACGCAACCTCATCATACACCTCTAGGGTATGATTTAGAGTTTGCTATGCTTAGAGGGGAGATATGTTATGTTGATTGTGTATATCCAGGATGTCTAGTGATGGTGGAAGATGTAGTTATGCCAGCTAATTTTATCCCGTTAGATATTGTTGATTTTGATGTGATTTTAGGCATATATTGGTTGCATTATAATCGTGCCAATATAGATAGCTATGGGAAAAAAGTTACTTTCCATCGTCCTGGATTACCTGAAGTTACTTTTGTGGGTGAACGTAGTGGGGTGAGGCATGGTGTTATTTCGGCTGTAAGAGTAAAAAAGGTTGTTATCAAAAGGTTGCGAGGGATATTTAGCTTATGTAGTGTTGAATGATGTTGCTCCTAGTAGTGTGGAGAATGTTAAAGTAGTTAGACATTTTCCTGATGTATTCCCTGATGATTTACCTGGATTGCCGCCAGACCGAGATGTGGAGTTCATTATTGATTTGCTTCTAGGTACGGATTCTATATCTTTGACTCCCTATAGAATGGCTCCTGCAAAATTGAGGGAATTGAAAGTTTAGTTGCAGGAATTAGTCGATAAAGGTTTTATTCAGCCTAGTACTTCACCCTGGGGAGCTCCAGTTTTGTTTGTAAGGAGGAAATGACGGACTTTGAGGCTATGTATTGATTATAGGCAATTAAATCGGGTAACAATTAATAAACTGTTATCCATTGCCGCGTATAGATGATTTGTTTGATCAACTTCGAAGTGCCTGTGTGTTTTCTAAGATTGATTTGAGGTCCAGTTATTACCAGTTGAAGATCAGCAGTGAGGATGTTCCTAAGACCGCATTCAGGACTCGTTATGGTCATTATGAGTTTCTTGTGATGCCATTCGGATTAACGAATACACCAGCAGCTTTTAATCGAGTATTCCAGTCATATATAGGCAGGTTTTTCATTGTTTTCATTGATGACATTCTGGTACACTCTAAGTCTAAATCAGATCATAGTCGACATCTTACCTTGGTGTTGAAAAGATTAAGGGAGCATCAATTGTACGCTAAGTTTAGCAAGTGCCAATTTTGGTTGAATCAAGTGGCATTTTTGGGACATGTTATATCTGCTTAAGGTATTCAAGTAGATCCTCAAAAGGTAGCAGCGGTGGAGAATTGGGAACAACCACGAATCGTCACTGAGGTACGGAGTTTTCTTGGCCTAACAGGCTATTATCGACAGTTTGTTAAGGATTTTTCAGTCATTGCTTTGTTATTAACAAGGTTGACTAGAAAAGAAGTTAAGTTTGAGTGGGATGATAATTGTGAGCAAAGTTTTCAGCAGTTGAAGTATTATCTCAATCATGCACTTGTTTTAGCACTCCCAGATGATAGTGGCAATTTTGAGGTCTACAGTGATGGTTCCCTAAATGGTTTGGGATATGTGTTGATGCAACATGGTAGGGTGATTGCTTATGCTTCACGACAATTAAAGCCTTATGAGATGAATTACCCTACTCATGATCTAGAATTAGCAGCCATTATCTTTGCTTTGAACATTTGGAGACATTATCTTTATAGTGAAAAATGTAAGATCTTCACAAATCATAAGAGTCTCCAGTATCTTTTTACTCAGAGGAATCTTAATCTTCGGCAACGGAGGTGGATTGAGTTACTTAGTGATTATGATTGCACAATTGAGTATCACCCTGGTCGTGCAAATGTGGTGGCTAATGCACTTAGTAGGAAAACTCCAGTTAAACTTAATGCCATTTGTTATTGTCATTTTCCTCTTCTTGCTGATTTAAGGTCCACTGGAGTGAAGTTAGGGGTGGAAGAACGAGAAGAAGACTTACTTGCTAATTTTCAAGTTAGACCAATTTTAATTCATCAAGTGCTTGAAGCCTAAATGGATGATGAAGAGACCCAAGAAATAATTCAAGCAAGGAATCGGGGGAAGAAGAAAGACTTCAGAATTCGAGAAACTGATGGCATGCTTATGCAGGAGAGTAGAATGTATGCGCCAAATAATATGGAATTAAAGAAAGCAATTCTTGATGAATCACATATTTCAGCTTATGTAATGCATCCAGGAGGTACTAAAATGTATCATACCATTCGACCATTTTATTATTGGGCAGGTATGAAAAAAGAAATTGTTAAGTATGTGAGTAGGTGTGTCATTTGTCAGCAAGTCAAAGCAGAAAGAAAGAAGCCTTTTGGATTGATGCAGCCACTTCCCATTCCACAATGGAAATGGGAAAATATTACTATGGATTTTGTGTACAAGCTTCCTCGCACACAGAATGGTTATGATGGAATTTGGGTGATAGTTGATCGGCTTACTAAGTTAGCATATTTTATTCCTGTGAGGGAGAAGTATTCTTTAAGCCGATTAGTTGAATTGTTCATATCGAAGATTATGAAGCACCATAGAGTTCCAATTAGTATTATCTCGGATCATGATCCTTGATTTACTTCTAAGTTCTGGGCAGCATTCCAGAAAGCTTTTGGTTCGAGATTACTTTATAGTACAACATATCATCCTCAAACAGATGGACAATTAGAGATGACCATTCAGACGTTGGAAGATAGGTTGAGATCTTCAGTATTGCAATTTGGTGATGCTTGGCATAAGCGGTTGGATTTAATGGAATTTGCCTACAACAACAACTTTCATTCAAGTATCGTTATGTCACCATTTGAGGCCCTTTATGGCAAATTTTGTCGTACACCTTTATGTTGGTCAGAGGTTGGCGAATGAGTGTTGGTGGGCCCTGAGATTGTGGATGAGACTACTCAGAATATTCAGGTAATTAAATCTAACCTGAAAGCGGCCCAGGATCGACAGAAGAGTTTAGCAGACAGGTATGCCACTAACCGGGTGTATAATGTAGGTAATTGGGTGTTTCTGAAGTTATCACCATGGACAGGTGTTGTACGGTTTGGAAAGAAAGGCAAGCTAAGTCCTAGGTACATTGGACCATATGTGATCACCGAGAGAGTTGAATTACCTCCAGAGTTGTCCAAAGTGCATGATGTTTTCCATGTTTCCATGCTTCGTCATTACATCTCAGATCCATTGCACGTGAAACATCCTCAACCATTGGAAATTAATCCAGACTTGTCTTATGATGAAAAGCCAGTGACTATTTTGGATTGGAAAGATAAGGTTCTAAGAAATAAAACCGTGCGCCTGGTGAAGGTTTTGTGGACAAATCACTCAATGGAAGAAACTACTTGGGAGTCAGAGGACCGGATGAGAGATATGTATCCAAGGTTATTTTATGATTATTAGTGGATTGTATTTATTGTTTGAATTTCGAGGACGAAATTTTCTTAAGAGGGTAGGTTGTGACAGCTCGTCCTGAATTATGTTTTATCAACAGTGTGAAATGTCTATTTTGCCCTTGGACGTTCAGATGTGTTGTGTGTGACATGCTTTTAGAGGTGGATCAATATGTTAAGTCCTAATTGTTTGGACCCAATTAGAACTAAATTTACACATACCCATACCCTTACCCGTTGACCTTTCTCTCTCCTCACTCTCTCGATTTTCATCTATTATCCGTACAATCGTACGATCAACTCGTGAACCAATCAATTCAGGCACAGATCGAGGTTTTGGAAGCCATCGACGTGTTCCTTGTGAGCTTAGGAACAAATTCATACATGAATCCTTCGAAAACCCGAGAACCCAGAAATCCTAGATTGTGAGCATTGTTTATGTGATCGTGGAATTTTCAGTGAATTTTGAGGTTCTAGGAAGCTCTAGGACGTCTTCACGAAGCTCGAGGAGTAATTTTGAAGTGTTTTGGACGTTGGGAAGCTTAGTTTGACGAGTTTCAAATTTTGGCCGGATTATCGTTGGTTTTTCCGACGAGATCTCGTTGGATTTAAGTCCTAAAAGTGGTAAGGTTTTGTTCTACTCGTGGTAAGCTTCATTTTGGTACAAATTTCATGGATTTTGGTTAAGAAATGAGAAAGATATGACGCTTTAAAGTTTTTCCAAAAATCGACAAAAATTCGAGTTTCTGATGGCGGCGACCGATGAGGCTTGCCGAAGAAGGAGAGGAATATTCCGTCAAAGTTGACGGAATATTCTAATGGCGTCAGGTAACGCCATTAACTTCTGTTAAAGTTTTAATGGAATATTCCAAACGGCAATTAAGTTTCTATTAGAGTTGGCCGCGCGTCAGGGCGCGTCTGGCCGTGGCTTGGTCGGCGTGTGGTGGCGCGTGGGTGGTTGAAATTTTTTTCTAAAAATATGGAGATGTTCATGAGGTTGAGTAGATCGTGTTGGTATATTCAAACATCCCATTTGAGCATTGTATGAGAAGTTATTAGCTAGTTTTGGTTATATGCTTTAAATAACATTTATATAGTTGTTTCGCATATAGGTGAGACCTATCCTCAGGACGAGCGCAGTCCATCGAGGCTTGGGTGCTATGACCCTTTGACATATCAGTGAGTGGGTTTTTGGTTTTCCGTATATACCTATACACTTGAGATTTTTCCCAAAAAATGAATTTGAATGATTATACATTTTGAAATGCCATGCAAAGTATCTGCCTATTTTATTTATGCATTAATAGTTGCATATATTTATGATTGGTGCTGCGGACGCACAGGTAAGTGCTAGGTAAGTTCATAAATTAAAGACATGAGATTGCTTTAGTTATGCGAGATATGATGTGATGCATTGAGAGCTCATAAACCTGCACCCTGGTGTTAGTGCTCCCGCCCAGAGTTAGGGCACAGCCTTTCACGTGATGTTCACCTTCTACACCATATGCTCACCTTGGATCCAAGTTTGGTGCACACGCTTGTCGTACAGACCATTATAGGTGGTTCCGACTCGTAAGTGACTCGCGATCATTCGCACAGTCTTCACGTGATCGTAGCACTAGAGCATATTTATTTTACACCTAGTCTTGTCGTACATACCACTTTAGGTGGTTCCGACTCGTGTGCGGGATTTGATATGATTGAGATTGGTTATGAGCTATAAACTCAGCTGTGCAGGTCACGTTAGGTGGATCTGGCTGATATGATATATGGCATTGATATATTTTAATTGGACTACTTATGGCATTTCATTGTGATACTTTGGCATGGTATCTTTCTATGGATTTTCATCCTGAGCATGATTTCTGATATAGCATATATTATATTTTCTGGGAAATTATACAGGTTTTACGGCGAGGGGTTAGAACTTTTGAGAAATGAAATGATTTTGAAAGCTTTGTTTTTACCCACTCACACTTTTTGTTTTGCGCCCCTCTAGGTTTTAGGTAGAAGTGCTTTGGTGGCTCACGGGGATTTCGACAGTGGTTCTAATAGAACATCACAAATGTAGGATCACCTTTGGGTGTTGTATAATTGGTACTTGTCCTGCCTAACTGCACTTAGGCTACTTATGCTCTAGTTGTGTATTTCACACTTAATCTTGCACTAGCACCTTATTTTAGCTAGTACTTTTAGTAGTTTGGTTTTTATTCACTCGTATTTCTTTATATCATTATTACTTCCGCATTGTACACATGGTTACGTCACTCTCACATGACGGTCAGCATGCCCTGATTTAGGTCGGGGTGTGTCAGGAGAGGGAGGAAAGGAGAGTGCGGGAAAGAAAAAGGAGGGGGAGGCAGCCATTAGGAAGGGGGAGAAATGAGGGAAAGGAGGGAGGAGACGGGTCGCTTTCGACCCGTGAACCATCAATTTTGACCTAATTGTATCTCCCTCATCCGACCTCCGTTTTGGGTGATCTTGGTGTCTATGGAAAGATCTCGACGAGCCCAACGTCCTTGTGGTATTATTTTTCTAAATTTCTAACTCAATTTTAAAATTCGAAGCCACAAAGTTTCGATTTGTCCTGCGAATGTCACCATTTACCAGTGATTCCGACAACGAATACCATCAGTCCCCACCACCAATAAACTTCCCTCAACCCCAGGGGCAAGGCCCAAGGATTGGTTGGGGGAGACGAAGCTATTTTGGAGTCAAATCAAGAACTCCCAAAATTAAGGGTTTTCAACAATTTGTGGGCAATTTGAGGTGTTTTCCGGCCGAATTGGACTTCAGCCCAGGTATAAAAGTTGTTTCCCTTGACTTGATCTACATTTTTGTAAATTTTGGGAATTTTTAGAAATAGTGAAATTTCCTAACGAATCAGGGTAGCCGACCGCCACTTGCGACGGTGCGTAACCAGTGAGCCAATGATGTCCTTTTAAGCTAATTTCAATATTCTGAATCCATATTTGATATGCATTTGGTGTGACTCCCTTGTTTGAACCTAGTTAGTGATTGTTAGTCACTTGAATGTTTTTTTGGAAATGAGTTAGGAAGTGAATGGTGAACTATGAAGGGCTTGATCCTGCTCAAGGATATGTAGATAGTCTAACAGGGGTTAGATGCAGCCCTAAATAATCGAGAATTAATCTTTTGTTGAGAAGTTGTTTTAATAGAAGAAATTTGGGGATTTAATTGATAATTTAATCCTATATTTTGATAATTAAAATATGGATATAGTTTTGTGAGAATTAAGAATTAAGGAATTGAAGCAAAGAATAATGATTGATGGTAGTAAATTAAACAAGAGTTTAAATTGGGCTTATCATCAGAATTATTTCCCGAAAATAAGTATTTTGGGGGCGGGGTGTTACAGGCCCAAAGGTTTGGGTTGGGTTTTGGATTGGGTTTAGGCCTGAATTAGTAGTTGGGTTGGGTCGGTTTGGGTTGCGGGTCAGGTTTGACCCGATTGGCTTATAGGTTACCGAACCCAACGAAGGAGAAAGCCGAATTTTGGGAATTTGGCCAGGAAACTCTCGAGCTCCGATCGAGCTCAAAACTAAACCAATCCTTGCAACCCAATATATCAAATTGAAGCCCAGGATACAAGGAATCAAACTTGTCAAAAAACTGGGGAAGTTCCCCCGATGTATTTTTGTGCTATTTCGTTCATTCAAGACATGTACACAAGATCAATATCGAACCATAGGAATAAAATGAAAGGCTTTTTAGGATTTCCCGAGGCTTACCCCTAATTGGAAATGCAAGAGACTCGTAGAAGAATCCTTTGAAAAAGGTGATGAACAATAGCATAAGCTCTTGCATAGTGTTGAGCTCTAGCTTGAAGGTGTTGATCCTAATTTAGTGGTCGTGGCAGGTCTTAGTTCATGGTGGTGTGCTCATCGAAAAGGAAAGTGGTGGTGGTGGTGTGGCATCCATGCTCGAGGAGAGGGAGAAGATGATGGTGGTGGGGTCGCTGTTGCTGTTGTATCCTTGTATGTGTGTATAAGTATTGCTCGGGAATGGAGAGGAAAAGGGTTGCAGAGAAGAGAGGTGAAGGAGAGTGTTTCCTAGGAAGAGACAAAAAGGAAGAGAGGGAAAAAGAGAGAGAGAGAGAGAGAGAGAGAGAGTTCTAGTGAGAGAGAGAATTCTAAAGAGAGAGAGAGAGAGAGAGAATGAGAAAGGTCACGGGCAAAAGGAACACCCCAGAAAATGGGGAGAAATCTGCCACATGTCGCCATCCTAATGGTCCATGATGGAGAAATATATCCAATTGTAAAATCTTCATTTTAGCTCCAAATTCACTTCCGCTTGCGCCCACACATTCGTAATGATGAGTACTACGAGACTACACCAAGGGAATGAATCTTACATGACACGACATTTCGGTCAACAAAAGTCAACATGTTTGCCTCAGAGGGTATTTTCGTAAATTCATGAATTAAAATTATAAAAACAGTAATATTTGGGGACGAGTCGTTACGAACAGTATGTAGGTTGTTTTTAAAAGCTGCTTTAATAAAAAGCGAAATTGAGTCTTTAATGAATATTTTCAATTCCTGTAATATCCTCAAATTTAAAATTTTGACATTGTTTAATCTTATATACTCACTTTACCGCTAGGAGAACAAAGTGACCGTCACCACCTACTACTACAAACACTAACCTTACGATGAGTTTTAAATTTCATAGACGATGAGTTTAATACTCAGTTATTCTCATATCCCTAGTATAAATATAACGTTGCATAAAAAAACAAAAACAAAAACAAAAACTACCAGATATACCTTAATTCTTAAAATATTTCAAATTAGATTTGTCAATCAAATATAAAAGATTTCAAACTCAAATTGAAATTTAGTTTTAGAAACCCATAAGGTGGCCTTTCATGTATTTCTTAGTAATAAGCTTCAATATACTATAAACAAACCTATTCATATTGTAAAAAGGAATTCCTATTCCTATTCATATTGAAAAAATGTCACCTGTTCATATATATATATATATATAGCTAACAGCACCTCAGTTGCCATATACACAACAAACTTTATTTCTTATAGTTAAGATGCAGGACCTTAGTAACTATGTTATACATATCATAGCAGAAGAAAGGGATTGCCCCGATTATCAATTGCTTGAGGCTCTTTATGGCTCACTTTTTTGGAATTTGACAAGAAGCGACGGTTTAAATACTCGAGGCGTCACGCCACACGTTACCCTCGAAAGAACACAAGAATTTGGTTTTGATCCATATCATGCGAATCAGGATCAAGCCGCGGCAGCAATGGATCGAAGCAGAGAACTGACTCGACTGGAACAAGAGTTGGACTCACTGTTTGTCAGGCTGAATGATAGGCTTTCTTTCATGATCTTTGGCCACTGGACGAAAGGGCCACAAGGTTGAGGGAAGAGTGGGAGTCACTAACTGTAAGACAAAAGAATAATGACGTGCTATCTGCTGATATTCAAAGACTGGATTCGTTTCAACTTCGCCTATCGAGCGTTGGGGTTGAAATATTAAGCAATACTACTGAAGCTGCGCTTGCAAGAACACGGAATACGAGGGCTTTTGATATTGTGTTAGAAGCGGCTAGGATCGAGTCATTAAATGAAGCAGTAGCGTTGAGGCCATGGCCTGCAAGCAAAGCAGCGGTCGAGGCCTTGTAGAAGTTGGTATTTGATGAACGAGCAGATGGTTCGAGCAGCAATCAATAGTGTGTGGTTTGCTTGGAAAAAGATGTTGGGTGGAGAGCAAGTCACTCGGTTGCCGTGCTCTCATATGTTTCACGGAGACTGCATTGTGGAATGGTTAAACCAGTGTCATACGTCCCCGGTGTGTAGGTTCAAGTTGCCAGCAGAAGCAAACTCAAACTGATGATGATTTTACAAATAATGTACGGATACGATTACTGGGAGACAGATCAATTACTGTATAATTCAAATAATTAGATTGAATTAGCTTGGAAATTTCAATTTTTTTCTTGACATTTGTATTTCTTGAGGTAGTGAATTCTTGAATTTCTCTTGCACCTAAACCATTGCACTTTTTTTTCTTGGCCAAAGTTGCGCGATTAGGATCTAACTAATCAAATTATTTTCTGATCTCTAAAATACTCTCAACTAAGCTATTATGCATTGCTTGTAGGAATTAATAAATAAATGCCCTTCATGATCATGAGCAGTACAAAAAAAAGCGTGAAGAGAAATTGAAATTAGTATTAGAAACAAGTCATATACCAATTTCTTAATCTTAAGTTGAAGATAATCTCTACAAAAAATCATTCGAATTGAAAGCCGTTTAGTCAGTCAAATGTACCAAATAAATCAGCGGTGTAGGTACCACTAGAATATTGTTAGAACTCAACATCTTATCCACTCGAATATTGGACCACACGTCCACTAGGATATTGGACCTTTAAGGTTTAGTTTGTGTTGATTCCAAAGGTTATTGAAGATTTTACTTGATAAAGTTTGTGTTGTATCTATAGGGATCAACTTAGTTATACTATTCTCTCTTCTTATTTTTCATTGAAATTTTCTTCTTCTTTCTTTTTCTTTTTCGTTTGTGACATTCATGTTTCTTCCCTCTTCTACAATCAATGAACCAGTATATCCGCCTCTTCGAGAAACCTATCAGCGAGTGCTGAGTTTATCCACTGCCTCAAACTCAATTCTTCAGCAAACATTTCATCTGTTACTCCCTTGACGTTAAGCACAAGCTCTTACATCTCTGTTCTGTTAGATAAAATAAGCTGCATCGGAAGACATTTTGATACATTAACATAACTCGTAACACAGGTGTGATTGCAGACATACAAGTTTAGGTTAGGTGATCTCACCTCTTTCACATTTTCGATGTTTTGATGTAAATATCTTTCCGTAAGTGTCCTGTTCGACTTTTATGAAGCCCTGAGCAGCAAGAACTGCAGAGATATACATTATGCTCCCATCCTAGTTTGTTACTAGGTTAAGATGTGTTAAATGGAGAAATGTAAATCATAGTAGTAAAAAAAGGAGCACATAATATCAGCAAAGGTAGAGCATGTATATGGACACATACGTTTGTGTCAAAATATGATGTCAATGCCCTGCAAACATTTGAGTGCAAAGAGAGAAAGTGCAATCAAGCAACCAAAATTGAACGTTACTTGTGGAC